GACAATATGTGACACTTTTTATAACTCTGACGGGTGCATAAAGGTTTGTTTCACTCTCTACTTTTGTGGTTGCTTGAAATATTTCATAAAAAAATTTTAAAAGACAATTCTTTTTAAATATTCCCTCAAATTTACATATATATATATATGAATTTTTAATATATTTGACTTTTAAAAAGTGGCCGAATAATAAATAGCTACCTCTCCAAAGAACACATTAAACTGAACAACTAATATAATAAGTCATTAAGATTTTTAAACTATAATCTTAAATATCTGAATTGTATTATTTAAACTAGTACATGGAAAGCTGGCAAAAAGGAGTTATTCAAATATTTTTAGTTGCTCCCACATGTTTTTAATTTTTACTGATTTTTCTTCTTTTAACATGGTTGTTTTGGAGCTTATCCAAAGCCCCATCTTCAAGGCCCAAGCTAAACAGCATTTTACCTGGAATGTTACAAGAGCCTCTGGCAGTGGACAGGCAGTTAGACTCGAAGGCCCTTCTGACCTTGTGGTTGTGCAGTTAATCAGAAAGGAGGCCCTTTCCATCCCTGTGTTCTGAGGTTAACCTACCCAGTCTGGCCTGAGTCCACAAGGCAGGCAGTGCCAGGCGGGGGCCTTCCTCTAATCACATGTTTTAGCTCAGAATGTGTCCACTGCCTGGAAGATCACTTAGCTTTTTTGACCTAAAAGAGCTAAACTGTGCCATGGATATCATTAATCTGAGTGACACTCTAATCACCAAGATGTTATTTTTCTTTGCAAAACATTAACGAGTTCATGACATTCTCTCTAACAAAAAAGATTATTTTTTTTTTCCTTTTGGCTTGGTTTATTTAGAGTAATATTTCTAAAGACTCAGAAGAAAAAGAAAGGGAAGCCCTCCCTAGAAGCACACAGTCTGGATTCTGCCCCAAGGGCAGATGGATGAGCAGTGAACCAACCTCAACCAGGGCTTTTCTGGGCCAACATGGGGCCCTGAATCCAGGGCTAGTGAGGAAACAGATTCTTTTCATTTTCTGCTTACATTTTTTAAACTTTAAATCCTCCCCATGATTTGTGCTCTTTTAATCTAATAAAAGCTGTCAAGGGCCTCTCCAAAGTTCTAAACAGGGTCTGATCCAAATGGTATCTTCAATTGCTTCCTATGTATGTAAAAGTTGGACAATGAACAAAGAAGACCAAAGAAGCAGCGATGCTTTTGAATTGTATTACTGGTGAAAATCCCTGAGTACCTCACGCACAGTCAAAAGAGCAGAGCGCTCCTCAGAGGTAAAGAGGGTGAAACTTCATCTCACTTACTTTGGGCATATTTTCAGGAAGAGTCAACCCTTGGAGGGAGACATCATTCTGGGAACAGTGGACAATCAGAGAAGGAGAGAAGACCCTCAAACAGAAGAACTGACACAGTGCTACTACAAGGGCCTCAAGTACAGGGCATGGCTCAGATCTGTTGTTGGTAGAGTCCTTATGAGTCATAGTCAACTCAATGGCACCTAATAACAGCTGAAAAGCTAGTTTACTCTTATATAGGGAGTTCTGGTAGCCTAGTCTGTGCTAATCCAAAGTTAGTGCCTCTCTGGCAGTTCAAATCCCACAGCAGTCGCCCAATCTTCTCCTGAGTGATTTACAGGCTCAGAAAAGCTGCTGGGGAGTCAGCTATGATTTCCAAATAGAAACAATTAGTTTATCAAATAAATTCATGGGAAGAGGCGAGTTAAAAATACCACTGAAATTACTATTTCAGAGAAAGGAAATAATGCTTTAAAGTTAAAAACTGAGGCTGAATTATATAGAATAACAGCTACATAAGACTGCAGCCTCAATGCCATCTCAGACAAGGGTCTCATATCAAAAGTTTACAGAATACTCCTGGGCCTCCACAAGAAAAAGACTGATAACACAATCACAAAATAAGCAAAAGGCATGCAAAGACCTTTCACAGAGGAAGATAGTCGGATGATCAACAGACACATGAAGAAACGTTTAAAATTACTGGCAAGAAGAGAGATGCAAATCAAAACCACAATGAGATACCTTTTCACCCCAGTACCAGAGGCAAAGTTTATTAGGACAGCAAGCAATAAATGTTTGAGAGGATGTGGAGAGATAGGCACTCTTATACACTGTTGGTTTGTTTTTTTTTTTTACTATAAAATTGTATAACAACTCTGAAAGGTAGTTTGGCATTTCCTCAGAAATCTGAACATAAAAATTCCATGGTTATTCCACTGCTTGGAATATTGTTGTTGTTACGTGCCGTCGAGCCGTTTGCGACTCATAGTGACCCTATGTACAACAGCCCTAAAATGTGCTCTATCCTGCGCCAATCTCATTGCCTCTGACACACCCATCCTAAGTACCCCAGTCACTCAATCAATCCACCTCATAGAGGGTCTTCCCCTCCTGTGCTGTCCCTCCACTCTACCCAGCATGATGTCCCTTTCTAAAGACCTGTCTCTCCTTACAACATGTCCAAAGTATGTCAGACGAAGCCCCAGAATCCTTGCCTCCAAGGAGCAGCCTGGTTTAATCCTCTCTACGATGAATCTGTTTGTTTTCTTGGCAGTCCATGGTACATTCAATACTCTTCTCCAGCACCACAGCTCAAAGGCATCAATTCTCCTTCTATCCTCCCGAGTCATTGTCCAACTCTCTGATGCATAACAGTGATTGCAAAACCCATGGCCTGTATCAGGCGGACCTTAGTCTCCAGAGAGACACTGTTGCTCTTGAGTATTTTGGAGAGGTCCCTAACCGCAGACTTTCCCATCGCAACAGAGATTTGTACGCCAATCTTCTAAGTAGCATTACTCACTATTGCAAGAACATAGAAACAGCCCAAATGCCCAACTACAATCGAATGGATTGAGAAATCATAGTACATTCACATGGTGGAATACTACACGGCATGCAGGAGCAATGATTTTTTTTTTAATTACCTCACAACTAGGGAGGAGAAGTGTGGCATCAGGATTAGTGGAAGATCTATTAACAATCTACATTATGCAGATGACACAACCCTGCTTGTGGAAACTGAGGAGGACCTCATGCACTTGCTGCAGAGGGTCAAGGACTGCAGCCTTCAGTATGGACTGAGGCTCAATGTCAAGAAGACAAAGATTCTCACCACTGGACCAATTGGCAGCATCAGGATGGATGGCGAAGAGATTGAGATTGTCCACAGCTTCAGTTTGCTCGGCTCCATGGTCAATACTCTTGGCACCAGCAGCCAGGAAATCAAAAAATGTATTGCGATGGGAAAGTCTGCTGTTAGGGACATCTCTAAAGTACTCAAGAGCAACGGTGTCTCTCTGGAGACTAAGGTGCGCTTGATACAGGCCATGGTCTTTGCAATCACTTGTTATGCATCAGAGAGTTGGACAATGACTAGGGAGGATGGAAGGAGAATTGATGCCTTTGAGCTGTGGGCTGGAGAAGAGTACTGAATGTACCATGGACTGCCAGGAAAACAAACAGATTCATCCTGGAGAGGGTTAAACCAAGCTACTTCTTGGAGGCAAGGATTCTGGGGCTTCGTCTGACATACTTTGGACATGTTGTAAGGAGGGACAAGTCCTTGGAGAGGGACATTATGCTTGGGAGGGTGGAGGGACAGCACAGGAGGGGAAGACCCTCTATGAGGTGGACTGATTCAGTGACTGGGGTAATTGGGATGGGCGTGTCAGAGGCAGTGCACAGGATAGAGCAGGGTTTAGGGCTGTTGTACATAGGGTCACTGTGAGTTGCAAACCACTCGACGGCACATAACAGCAATAGCAACAACTAGGGAGGGACTGGAAAGCATTATGCTAAGTGAACTAACTCAGTTTCATAAGGACAAATACTTTATAAGACCATTATTGTAGAAATAGAAAGATAACTAATAAAATGGGTATGAGGATCCAAGGGGAGGGGCATAGGAGCAGAGGGGTGAGCACGGGTAGGCAGGTAATTGTAGGGTCACACAATTTGATGGGTATAAGAAGGGGTGGGTAAAGGAAATGGGAAAGATTCAGTGTGAAAAACAATGTATACTAACTTTGTAAGTAAACCAGTATAAAATAAAAATTTATTTTTTTTTACAAAAAAAGACTGCAGCCTCTCATGAAAATTACACATAAGGCATCTGGCTTTATGAAAGACACCATTATCAAAATGAGACATTTTGGAAGCTCATACTAAAGTTTTAGGAAGTATGCCAACATTTACCTCCACTGTGTACTTTCAGATTTCCAATTATAGGAATTATGAGGTGTTAACATAAAAGCTTTGACTTTTACGCAACCAAGTAAACATAGCTTCATTCGTTTTAGCGGTTCTCTCAGAAGGTTCTTTAATCAGTGTGTCTTATCTTTTGGTTTCCAACTGTTTATGGCTGGGCCAACAAAGTGTTCCCCTCACACAATGATATCATTTTGTTCAAGATCAATTTTCTACAGACATTTATTTGGTGTCTGGCTTTCCCTCCCGCCCCCTCAACACCTCAGGGAGCCTTCTCAATCACTTGAGGTGCCGACTTCCCATGATCACATGCAGCTGTTTCTCAATTTCAAGCTGGTTCATAAACCACCTGGCCATTGTGTCCATGGCTCAAACTATCTTAAGTTATTTATTAAATCCTGTGACAGAATCAAACACTTAGAGGAGATGCCAGAAGGCAGAAACCACAGCCTTCGATGTCTGATACTAATCTCCAGCCGAGTTACTTGAGCAACAGTTTGTTTTTTTTTTAGTGTATTTCTCTATTGTTAGCTTTTTTTTTTTAACCTAGCCACAGTACACACTTAAAAGTTTATGTGAACATTTTCTATGCACTCGGCTTTAGTTTCTTAACTAATACTTTCTAGTTGAATTTGGGAATGTCAGAATTTCATCTTCTTTTAAAAAATATTTTGAGTGAATGCAGTCCATTTCTCATGTTCTTTATATATTTACAGATAAAATATTAAACATTTTCATGTGCTATCATCTACTAAACCAAAAGAAGGAAAAACTTACTGCTAGAATAAGTTTTGCAAGTTTAAGGCTGAGCAAGTCTGAACCAACATCAACTAGTTTACAGAGGGTCTTCAGGAGATCATTTCTTCTCTTAAATTTATTTCCCAGCATGTTTCCTTCTTCTAAAGCGTGATGAAGTTGTGTACAAGCAGCACAAACAGTTTCAATATTTTTTTCTGTCGTAAAAGCAAAACAGAGTAAAGCAACACTTAATATTTAAGGTAAATTTTTAAAAATGTAATTATTTAAATGTTAAATACAGACAGTATAAGGAAAACACCGGTAGTTATTTTCTTGAACTTCCTCAAATTTCTGAATTATACTGTCCCCTTATTACCATACATCTGATTTTTATTTTCATTTCTTTGTTCCATAGACGACTATGCTGACTTATTTACTAATACATTATCTTACCTGCAACACAGTTTTTCAAAGATGCCCTAATGCATAAATGGTTAATATGTGCCTTTGAGTCAGAACTGACTCATAGCTGACTCTCCAGTGGATTTTGAGAGGCAATAAATCACACAGAAGGAGACTACTCACCTTTCTCCCACAGGGCATCTAGTGGATTCAGAACACTGGTCTTTGAGTTGGTAGCACAATTCCTTACAACTAGGCCACAGAAACTCCCTACTGAATGAGTGTTACTTATTTCAGCTTGTCTTTATTCCAAATGCCTTCCACTTTAGCCAGTCCAGTCTCATGGAAAGAGACCACCTGTATCTCAATTTTCAAGCATATGCAACAGGATTCCATTGGTCTGGAATGTTCTCCTTATGTTTGATTCTATTGATTGTGGTATTCTAAGAGCCTTTACCATTCTGACTCCTCCAGAAAATAATTCCATAATATTCTCCTCTGAGATTGCATTCAACAAATCCTACCTTATGCTGCTGCTAATTTTTACATTAATACTTATGTTGTATTGCACATCTGATGTCCTGAAATAAATGCCAATTTAAGTCAATAGGATCACGTCTTAAAGAACTTTGTACCAAAGAGCATATAATTTTATATAATCACTTTCAAAAATATCAGTAAATGAAAATAGTGATAAACATTTTCTTCATAGAAAATAATGGCCACCATCTGAAAAAAAACCTCAGGCTCAAAGAGAACAAAAATCTCAAAATATTACCACATCTACCACTAATTACTATAGGCAGTTATTACAGATCCAACCCAAACCCAACCCACTGCTGAAAACTTCGTTCTGACTCCCAGCAACTCTCCCTCAGGTTTCCAAAGCTGTAAAAAGGTAGGGTTTTTTTCTCTATGTTTTTCTCCCCCAGTGTGGCTGGTGGATTCAAACAGCCAACCTTTTGGTTAGCAGCTATAAAGACTCTTCATTTATTAGGAAAGAGGAATTTTTAAAAGATAGAAAACATTTTCTAGTTAGAACTTGGATGAAAGCAGCTTTTTTAAAGTGGTAGCCATACTAATAGATGCACAAGAAAAGAAAGTATATATAAAGCAGAAAGGGGACTGATTATAAGAACCCAAGGTAGATGTTATTAAGTTGAAAAGAAAATATGATCTCTGATAGATTCCATCACAAAATTTAAAAGTAGGAAACCAATCTTAAATAAATACCATAATGTGCTCTTAGAAGCCCACAGAGAGGAAGTATGCGTCTGTAGAAGGAAATGACTCAGGCCATTTTTAGCTCTTTTCAACAATAACATCTAAGAAAAAATTTCAAATCTCAATAGCTAAATAACCTTCCATGCCTTTCAGTTATGCACTTAAATAAATGAATTGATGGGAAATGACTTAGACGAACTTTAAATAAAGGGAAAACTTGAATTCTATTGTAAGAAATACTTCTGTTCTATTCTTCTGTGACTGGCAATTTGTTCATAAACGGTAAGTCTAGGTTAAGGGGCATTTGCTGGCAGTGGTCCTCAAAGTATTTTTTTTTTTCTCTCAAGGTATTTTTTTAACACTTCCCTCCACAACAAGGTATTTTTTTAACACTTCCCTCCACAAACACTTCAGTTTGATGAGTTCTACTTGATTATGATTCTATTATCTAGAAAAAGTTTAAGAAGATTCAAACATCAAATTTAAACTATCGTCCAAATGAACTTTTTATGCCAATTGGATTGTTATAAATGACACTGAGCGTCAAAAGACAATTTAATTCTGTGTTATCAAGATTTTTCACAAGACTAAAGACAGTGGATGAAAAGTTTGATAAGTGGTAACAGGAGATTAATAGTCTCAAAGTAACTTCTCCCCACAAGATCCTTATTCATTACAAAGGGTCATCTGCTGTTCTTAGAGTTGTGTATAGGGAGAGAAGCTCCAACTCTGTGTTTAATAATCCTTTTACAAACCCCAATTCTGATCAATTCTTCAGTCTATCTTCTCCAAGATAGATGCTACTTGGCCCTTTGTACTACTTGCCTTTCTCCCTGCCTAATGTTTCCTATGAAGTGTTCCTTTTTTTAACATTTACCTAGGCTGACTCTTCTCATAAGTTTTCTGAACCAGCTCAAAGTTAACCTGGCCCATTAATAAGAAAGTGGCAATTGGTGACTATACAGGAGAAGCCATCCTTTTGTATTCTTAGGGCCTTTGTGCTGCACAGCACTTTGGAGAAGACATAGGTTTGGCCACCCTCATCTGGTGGGTAAGGACATTCTTTCCCATTCATGTGCTTAACAGCAATACAGGACCAGAAACCTCATCCATGTCTCCACCACACAATTATGACAGAGTCAGACACCAGCAGAGGTCAGGTCATTTGAACCTTTTAAAATGCAGGTCTTCTACGTGATTTCCCTGTTGAATGGGGAGGACTCGTCTACCCTACTTCTCGCATGATGTCCTCTTGTGATTCCATTAGTGGTTTACTTATCCAAGGAGCATGCATGCATCAATCCCTACTGAAGGTCTACTGTGTGCTGTGTGTCTGACACTCTGCTTGGTCCTAGGGCTACAGCCACAATTGGAAAGAACTCATTTCAACTTCAGACACAATACATCTTAGAAGCCACAGAAGGGGATAAGATGAGGTTCTCATCTTCTGACAAGGTCTCCTTACCTTTGGCAGTATCCATCGGTTTTGGGATTTCGCTACTGGGTAAGGACATTCCTGTCCTAATAGCAACATGGCAATGTGCAGCAAGGGCTGGGCACATTCCAGGCCACTTCCTGCCCTGGGAGTGCATCCCTGACAAGTGTACTCAGTCCTCAGGACAGCAGGACAAACACATATATGTGGATCTAGAAAAGCACGGGCACATCTGTCATAGATACCAGGCTATGAGCCTTAGCCAAAGGTCTGAAATTCACCTCAATCTTTCACTTTTGTGCATAAACAAGAGAGTTCAAACTAGAAGCGCTCAGGTAGAAGTGGTGATAGTTTACATTTCTTTCTTTTTGGGTGGGGGTGTGTGAGAAAAATTTGTATTTAGAATTAGCCAGCTGGACTCAGTTTAGATGATCCCAATTTTGTTGGCAACATCCAAAGCATCATAATCAGGGGCAAGTCGAACATATCCTTCTTCTCTCCATCAGGCCTAATCAAAGTGTTGACCACATCAACATCATGTAGCTTCTTTACAGCTTGTTTAATTTGGTGCTTGTTGGCCTTGACAACCACAATGAACACAACTGTGTTGTTATCTTCTAGCTTCTTCATGGCTGACTCAGTGGTCACGGGAAATCTGATGATGGCATAGTGGTCAAGCTTGTTTCTCCTGGAGGCACCCTTCCAGGGGTATTTGGGCTGCCTTCGGAGTCTCAGCGTCTTAGGCCGCCGGAAGGTGGGTGACGTGTGATCTTCTCCTTTTTGTGGCTGTGGATGCCCTTCAGGACTGCCTTCTTGGCCTTTAATGCCTTCGTTTTGGCTTCAGTTTTGTGAGGGGCAGGGGCTTCCTTCTTCACTTTTGGCACCATCTTCGTAGAAAGGGGTAGCTTGTATTTCAATGGCAATTTAAAATTAGGATGTCTTGGAACATTTAAAATAGAACTTTACTCTTCAAAAACAAGTCTTACATTTAGTATTCACTAGGCACACTGAAACAAAATAAAACAAACCTCATTGCCATAGTCACTTATCACTCATGGGATGCATGAGCATCCTCGGGTTTTTCAAGGCCATGACTTTTCATAAGTAACTCACCAGGCCTTTCTTCAGAGGTGCTGCTGGACAGATTCAAACCACTGACTTCTTGGTTGAGGGAGCGCTGGTAGCCTAGTCTGTTGGGCATTGCTCTAACCCCAAAGCCCTGCCTTTTTGGTGGTTCAAATCCAGCAGTAGCTCCTCTGGAGAAAGATGGGCAATTTCTTCCCCTGTGGTTTACAGACTCAGAAACCCACTGGAAGGTCAGTTACAAGCTAGTTCTGACTAGACGCAACAAGTTGGAGTTGTTCTCTTGGTTGGGGGACAAATGCTTAAACAGCTACATCACCCAGGGCCTCCATATAGAGACCAATTATGAGTAAACAACTGATCATGTCATTTGCTTTTTTAACATATTCACAGAAATTATTACATCAAAGTGTACTCAAAATACCAGTGCATTGGTGAACTGTCAAAAATCTACAGAAATTTTAAATTTAAGACAATAATAGTAGATTTCTTTACCCTTTTCTAATTCACATAAAATTGGTACGATCCTTGTATTCCAAAAGACTTCATTGACTTCTTTTTCTGTGTCCTTTTCTTGCGAGCCGGCTTTTGAGACTGCAAGAGAAAGTCAAGAGTAAGAGAAAAGCCAGGAGAAAAGGAGATGGAATTGGAGCACAGTCATAGGTCTTTACTGAAAATAATAAGCTGAAGATTTTAATTACATGATACCTTCAAACACAACTTAAACTAGAACTGCTGTTACTGTTTTTAAGGGCTATGAAGTCAGAACCAATTCGTAACTGACCTTCAGCAGTTTTCAGAGGCTGTAAATTGCCCTGGAGGAGCCTGCCCTTCTTTCTCCCAAGGAGCTGCTGCAGGATTTGAACCACCTACCTTAGGGTTGGCAGCGCAACTCCTTATGACCAGGCCATCAGAGTTCCTTCTAATTAGAACTACAGGCCTCCAAATCAAATCACATCGCCTAAAATAAAATTCAGTTAACATGAAGAAATCACAACTTTAAAATATTATTTATACACTTCATAAAAGTTGAAATTATTACAAGTAAGGTAAATCATTTTATTTCTTTTCTTACTTAAACTTATTGATCTGTAATACAGAGTAGATAATTATGGAAATGTAATAAGAACTTTTTTAATTTTAAAAAATTGTTTTTCTTTTATAGGAAGCTCTGGTGGCCTAGCAGCAAGAAGCTGCAATCCCGAAGGCAGACAGTTCAAGGCCACCAGCTGCTCCACAGGAGAAAGATGGGCAGTCTCCTCCCATGTGATTAACTACCTCTGAAAACCTGCAGAGGGTTAGCTATACGTCGGTTTCATCTTGACAGTACACCACCATCACAACAACAATGTTATAGCAATGTCTAAATAGAAGGCCAAGAAGGATTTTCTTTTCCATAACTTTAATTATAAAAGTACAACTCATGGTCACCTTATGAACAACAGATCTGAACTCTGTCCTATTCTATGCCATCTTCATAATCTCTGACATACTCAAGCCCATTGATGCAGTCACTGTGTCAATTCATCAAATGATTAAGAAAAAAAAAAGAAGTCAAATGATACATTGCATTGGGAAAATCTGATGCTAAGGACCTCTTTAAAACTAAGGAGTAAAGATATCAGTTCAAAGACTAAGGTGTCTCTGATGCAAGCTATGATATTTTCAATTGTTTCCAATGCATCTGAAACTTGGATAATGAATAGAGAAACCAAAGGATTGATGTCTTTGAATTGTGGTTGGCAAGGAACACTGACTATCCTCTAACTATCAAGAGAATCAGCACGGTGGTCTTGGAGGAGGCACAGCAAGGGTGCTCCTTAGAGGCAAGGGTGATCAAACTGTGTCTCACATACTTGAGGCATGTTGTCAGGGAGGGCCAGTCCTTGGAAGAAGACATAATGCTGGGAAGTAGAGAGTCAGCAAGAAGACAGCAGCTCTTTAGGAGAGGATCAGACACAGTGACTGTAACAAGGAGCTCAAGCATGCTGAAGATCATGAAGACGGCATAGGACAGGGCAAGGTTACAATCTGTTGTTCACAGGGCCATTATGATTTGAGAGTGCCTACCAAGCCAAAGGTGGGTGATTTTAATCTGCGGCCCTCAGGTCTGGTTTAAATTGTTTTTTTTGTCAAACATTCTTCTAGGTTGTATAACACTGGTCTGTGCATTGCTGTACAGAGGCAACTCGTGGTTGCTGTGATGCTCAACACTGTGACACTGATGTGCCAAGTGCGATAATGGTTACCCATGGTGGACAGTGTTTGGTGGAGCTTCCCGACTAAAGCAAGCCTCCAAGCAGGAGTGGCATCCACTTCTGAAATGGCTTGCCTCTGGAAACTCTATGAACATGGACAAATGACCAAAGTTATACAAGTGTTCAGGTCTTTTGTTCATATGGTCGCTATGAGTTGTCTACCACTTGATGGCACTTAATAACAACAATAACAACAACAACATAATCATCTTTATGAGAGCAGATTACCAGGTTCTACCACAAAGCCACTGGGTTCAAACCCCCCAAATTCTGGCTAAGTTACTGAACCTTGCAAGCAAGATTCTGCTGAAAATTAGCAAAAAATGACTAGAACAGCACACCAACAGGGAACCGCCAGATGTACAAGCTGGGTTTAGAAGAGGCTGTGGTACTAGGGATATTATAGCTAATATCAGATGGATCTTACCTGAAATCAGACAGTACCAGAAGAATGCCTGTGTTTCATTGACTATGTAAAGGTATTTGACTATATGGATCATAAGAAATTGTGGCTAATTTTGAGGAAAATGGGAATCCCAGAACACTTGATTGTACTTATGTGAAACCTACTGGCACATGACAGAGCAAGGTTTAGGGCTGTTGTACATAGGGTTTCTATGAGTCCCAAGTGACTCGACAGCACCTAACAACAACAACAACAATAACATACTTGGACCAGGAAGCAGTCCTCAGAACAGAGCATGGAAACACTGTATGGTTCAAAATCAGGAAAGGAGTGAGTCAGGGATGCTTCCTGTCCCCATACTTTTTCAATCTGCATGCAGAAGAGATCATTAGGGAAGCAGGACTTTTGAGGAGGAATGTGGCTTCAAGATTGGAGGAAGGCTCATCAACAATCTACGATTTGCAGATGACACACTTTTCTTGCTGAAAACTGAAGAAGACCTGAAGTGCTTGCTGCAGAAAGTAAAGGACAGTAGTTAGTCTTCAATATGTCTCCAAGAAGACAAAGATGCTCACCACTGGTCCAATTGGCAGCAACAGGATAGACAGAGAAGAGACTAAAGTTGTTAGCAATTACAGCTTGCTTGGCTCCACAATTAGTACTCTTAATACCAGCAGACAGGAAATAAAAAGATGAATTGCTTTGGGAAAATTTGCTGTCAGGGACCTTTTCAGAGTGCTGAAAAGCAATGGTGTCAGTATAGAGACTAAGGTGTGCCAAAGCCAGGCGATGGTCTTTGCAATTTGTTATTCTTCAGAGAGCTGGACAATGGCTGAAGATGACAGAAGAATAATAGATGCCTTCGAGTTGTGCTGAAGAAGAGTCTTGAACATACTATGGACTGCCACAAAAATAAGTCTGTGTTGGAGAGGGTTAAGCCAAGTCTCTCCTTGGAGGCTAGGATTTTGAAGCTCTGTTTTACATACTTTGGGCACACGGCCAGGAGAGACTGGTCCTTGGAGAAGGACATCACACTTGGAAGAGTGGATGGACAGTGCAGGAGAGGAGGACCCCGGATGAGATGGATTGATACAGTGACTAGAACAATGCGGGTTGGTGTGCTGGAATTAGTGAGACCGGCTCAGGACAGGGAAGGGTTCAGAGGTGCTGAACATAGGGTTGCTATGGCTCACAGGTGACTCAATGGCACATAACAATAACAACAAAAGGATAGAGCATGTTTCAGAGCTGTTGTATAAGTCACAGACAACTTGACAGCACATAAAAACATGCTAACATGTTAATGCTGGCTCATAGTGCCCCTATTTATTTTTGTTGTTAGCTGCTACTGAGTACAGTTTACAGCAACCTAATGAACAATAGACCTGAATCCTGCCCTATGCTGTGGCATCCTCACCATGTCTGACACTCTTGAACCCACTGCTGCTGTCACTGTGTCTATCCATCTCATTGAGTGTCTGCCTCTCATTCACTGATGCTCCACCTTTCCAAGCATGATGTCCCTCTCCAAGGAATAGGTTCTCCTAGCAACATGCCCAAAGTATGAGAGACAAAGCTTCGCCATCTTTGCCTCCAAAGAGTATTCTGGCTGCACTTTCCCCAAGATACATCTGTTTGTTCTTTTGGCAGTTCATGGGATATTCTTCTCCAACATCATGAGTCAGAGGTATGTATTCTTCTGTCATCCTTATTCATTGTCCAGCTCTCAGATGTGTAGCAAGTGATTAAAAAGACTATGTCTGAATCAGGCGCACGCTAGTCTTCAGACTTTAGTCATTGCTCTTCAGTACTTTTTAGATATCCCTGGCAGCAGCCTTTCCTTGTGCAATAAGTCTCCTGATCTCCTTAGTACCAAGTCTGTTGCCTGTAGATCCAAGCAAGATGAAATCATTGCCAACTTCAATCCTTTCTCCATCTATCATATTGCCCAATGGCCCAGTGGTGAGGATGTTTTGATGTTGAAATGTAATCCATATTGAAGGCTGTAGTCCTCGCTCTTCTGCAGCAAGTGTTTCAAGTTCTCCTCACTTTCAGCAAGCAAGGATGTGTCATCTGCAGCTTCCTAGGATTTACGAGGCAGTAAACCTTCACAGAAGCAGATAACCATGTCCATGTCTTTCTCCCATGGAGCAGCTAGTGGATTTGAAGAGCTGACCTTTCAGTTAGCCTCCCAGCACCTTCAATACTGTGCCACTAGGGCTTCTCTTAATGTCAAGGAATTACGTGTAGTGTCCTGGGCATGCTGTTTGTAGTGGCTGGCAAATCTCAGATCGGATTGCAGCTCAATTACTGAATGATCTTGTTTTAACTAAAAAAAAAAAAAGACAAGCTAAGCAGGGAGGGAGAGTAATGCCCGTTATCAGCAATAAGTTCTAGAACTGTTGGCTGGTTCTGAAGGTTTGAATCTTAGTAGCCAGATAACTTTCAGCAAGTTGCTTCACTTCTTTTTAAAATGGGTTAATAGGGGTTATCGCTAAGTATTAAGAGTCATTTTGAATGTCATTCATGTACTTTTCTTTATTTTCTAAAATTTTTAAAATGCTTGTGTCAATCTTGGAGAGAGAAAAAATATGCAAAGAATATTCAATTTGTACGTATGTACATGGAAGCCTTCGTCACCATATTTATATCACTATTTTCTTGACACAAAGTCTCTGTATCAAGAAATCAAGTAAAGTCTCTTCTCAATTATCTGCAGAAATAAGGGGGAAACTAATATATAAGCCATAACAGTATATGATAAAAAATTCATTTGAATTCATAGATGCCTGAAATGAATCCCTATAAATTCAATGAGAAATGTTCCAACCACATTGGAATGACATCACCAGGAGCAGCAGGAAGGCTATTCCAGTTATTATTCCCGCCCCTCCCCGCCCCACACCCACACCAGGAGAAGCAGGAAGGCTCACAGTCACACAATCACTATGTCCCTAGTGTGCCCTGTGCTGCAGATGGCCACTCTCAGTTGCAGCAAGTCTAGACTTGCCTTTCATCAAAACTTCCTCCTCCTGATAGAGGCCTAGCACACTAGGCATCAGAGAACACTCCAGCCACAAAAATAAACAGAAAGGAACTGTCAACGAAGCTACCAGAAACAGCTCTGCTGCTCTCAACTGTCTTACTAGCTAGCTCTCCAATCACCTAAGTTCCCTAATTTAAGCAAGAATCCAACAGAAACAGTCTCTAGGACAAAATCAGTCCACTTTAGTACAAGTTCATAATCCTTTATTAAAAAATCTTGGGGCCAAGATGTGTTACAGGACCAGAGTTCTTTAGAAAGTTAATATGGTACATTCATTGCAATGGCCCCAGGATGATCTTTCTGAGGCAGCAATCTGTAGCAAAATACATAAATATTCATGCTAGTGAAATAAAGACTGCAACTGGCCTCCCACCAGTTCAGGTCAGGTACTACCACTAACAGAGCTCAAACAATCTTTCCTTTTTTGAAATTTCAGAACTGTTAATAAAGGATTATATACCATCCTCTCCAATGTCTGCATTACTACTTTTAGGAATCTGCATTAACTTTGATAAATTACAGATATGGATTCCAAAAGTAGGTATGAATATTGAAGCAGTCTGGTGGCCTACTGGTAAAAAATTACACTACAATCCCAAAGATACACAGTTCAAACCCACCAACTGCTCTGCTCAAGAATGATGGGCAATCTCCTCCTGTCTGTCTCTGAAAACCCATCAGAGGGCCAACTATGGGTCGGTTCTGACTCAACGGTACTCAACTACAACAACAACTACATATTCCCTCATAATGAACATATTCAAAGTCCAAAGTACGGGAAGAAATGAATATATATTAATACAGGTGAAAAGCTATAACTATGAATTAATCCATTTAACTCTCAAATATTTATGATGACACATTTTAATGTACTAAAAATACAAACTACAAGCCTAATACGTTTAAATCAGCATCTTCTATGCAGTATGTTCTCTAAGATTATAGCTGTTATGTGGGACCATGATTTTCAACCAGTTTCTTAAGAGAAACAAAACACAAAACATTCATAGGAAGAACTGAATTAGAGGAGTGAGTCACAGAAATTACAGAGCGATTTACTTAACTTTTGGAAAAGAAGGGCTCTTGTAGACCCTTCCAAATATTTCCAAGGCTGGTATTGTCTCAAAGCGGCAGTTAGCTCTGCTCTGTGGTCTAAGGGTTTGTTCCTAACTCTTCCAAGAACTCCTGATATGCACAGCTGTGGTCCATGTCTGCCAGCTCATATCTGCTCTCCTTCCACACTCCTCTCTCATTTTTGTTCTCAACAGAAATTCTATTTTATATACCAACGCTGAATTATTCTAGAAACTGAAATAAAGACTCATGTGTTAATTACTTTAAGGTCTACCTAAAGAAAGAAAGTTTGTCTCAGTCTTGGGCAACAACCCAATAGTTTAGGAAGCACTTTAATCTAGGTTCAGTGTTTGCTAAATACATAAAAATAATCTGATTCAACAGGAAATTGGGTAAGTGAAGCAAAAACTTCAGCATGTTTTTAAAGACTGTGCTGTCTCAGTGGTTATGGCGCTTAACCACAACGTTGAATTCAGAACCCAAAAACTTGATGCCGTGTTTATTGGCTGATGTTTTTAGCATATGAATATAAAACACTTAGCAACAATGCTGACTTAGAAATCAGTATAGCTAAGATTTTTCTGAGTGCTACAGAAACTCCCAGTGGCCACACAAATAATTTTATTGGATAAGAAAAGAATTTTGAAGATAATAAAATATATCTTTGGTTTTTTTTACTTACTAGGAGTTTGATTTAACATTTTACTTTTTTCTTTGTTAGTATTTCAAAATAGATCAAGCATACAAAAAACATAAAAAATCTTTGCATAATAATATGTTTGTCCAATTTCCACCTTCCTTATTTTAAAGAAAAAATCATTACAGATATAGCTGAAGCTTTTAATGTGTCTTCCCTTTGAATCATTTTCCTTTTTGCCCTCTCTCCAGGGGTAATCACTATTCTAAATTTGGTGCTTACTACTATTATATTTGATTTTACATGTTTATCACACAGATTTGTATTCATAAACATTATATGTCATTAAGTTTGAAATTTACCTTTTTTTTCACTCCATGTTGTTTTTACTTCATTCAATCTTATAAATGTATGCTAATTCATGTTCTAACTGCTATATTTCATTGCATGAATATATTTTGTGTCAATTCTATGGGAGCTTTGGTGGCATAGTCCATAAACAGTTGCACTGCTAGCCCAAAAGGCTTTGAGTCTCCTAAAGTTCAAATCCAACCAGTGGCTCTAAAGGGAAAAGACAGGCAGTCTCCTCTTGTTGGTGATTCTTCAAAATCCAATGAAGGGACTCTATGAGACAGAGGTGATCTGATGGCAGTAAGTGAACTTATGATTTGTACTATTCTATACTTTCTCATTAGTCTGGGGACTAAGATGCACCTGTCCAGGCCATGGTCTTTGCAATTACTTGTTATGCATGAGAGGGCTGGACAATGACTAAGGATGACAGAAGAATTGATGCCTTTGAGTTTGTGGTGCTAGAGAAGAGTACTGAACATACCATACACCTCCAAGAGAATGAACAGGTCTACTTTGGAGAGGGTTAAATGAAGCTCTCCTTGGAGGTTAGGATTTTGAAGCTCCATCTCACATACTTTGAGCACATGGCCAGGAGGGACATCATGCTTGGAAGGGTCTGGAGGGACAGCACAGGAGAGGAAGAACTCAGATGAGATAGAATGACACAGTAACTGGAGTACCTGGGGTTGGTGTATTGGCGTTAGTGAGACTGGCTTGGGATAGGGCAGGTTTCTGAGGTACATGAGGGTTGCTATGAATCACAGGCAACTTGATAGTACGTAAAAACAAAATATTTTCTCAAATAGCTTAAAGTACAAATGGGCTGTCTTAATACAGTTAGCATGTTAGTGGTATTGTTATTTGCTGTCAAATCAGAACCAACTCACAGCTGACCCTTTAGAAGGTTTTCAGAGTAAGTAAATCACAGAAGAGGAGGTTGCCCATCTTTCTCCCTCAGAGAAGCTGATGGATTTGAACTGCCTGCCTTCCGTTTGACAGTGCAACTCCTTACCACTAGAGCTCCCTACAGTTAGTATGTTGTTGTTGTTTTCGTGTACCATAAGAGTCAGAACTGACCCAATAGCTGACCCTCTGAGGGTTAGCAGTTAATCACATGAGAGGAGACTGCCCACCCTTTTCCCATGGAACAGCTGGTGGCCTTGAACCACATGCCTGCAACATAGCATCTTGCCACTGGGCCACCAGAGCTCCCCACAATGAGTATAGTGGCATTTAATTTAGCAATTGAAATTCATGTTGATGTCAAGTAAGCAAACTTCCAAATGGTTTTATAAAATTCCTGTGAGATGATAAAGACTGTCATCTGTAGTCCTGGGCAATGGTGAGAACCACAAAACTGTTCTGGCGGGGCCGGGGGTTGGTGTGAGGGGAGATTATAAAAATAAATGTTGATTTATGACCAAATTAGACAAAGTTCTGTAGTTTTCATGCAGAATCAGCATCAGGCCTCCTCAGTGCTGGTATTTTTTTCAGCAGAGCAATCCTAATTGAGAAAGGGTTTTGGGACCAATAAGGACAGGAGGTCTCACCTTCAGTGGTTTCTGGCTGACTCAGCTCTGAGCAGCTGGGGCATGAGGAAGCCCGGGCACGCCTCCTCTCCTGATCCCTAAGAGAAAGAAGATGCACAAAAGATTCAGAGCAAAAACCAAAGAGCAGTTCTTTCTGCACATCTCCAGTCAAATACAGTTAATGAAATCACAGAGAATTATTTAGAAAACAAGATTCAATGCTCTATATCCCATTTTATCAACCTCTGATTTCCAACTAGGATTTATTCTCTAAAAACAAAGTGGATTTGCCTAAATATGAATTAGCTACAACAAGAAAAGCAAAAATTCAAAGTTTACTTTGAAAATTTAAAAACAAAGCTAAACAAAAAAAAAAAAAAAACAACACAACAAACAAACAAAAAAACACCTCCAAAAAAAACACACCAAACAAAAAGCTGATAAAATATATATGCCACAAGAGGTCACTATTACAATAAGAACTCAGGGTACCTGACTGTTGGGAGAGCCAGGAGGAACTTTGGTTGTTCTTAGTAGACAAAAATCTGTGCCAAACTGACCAGATGTGCCCAAGGTCACACATCAGGGCCAGATCTGGGAGCCAAGGCTCATTATTTCCAACTCACTCTGTTTCCTACTACTTTCTGGTTAAGAAAAGAACAGAATCCATATTCTCTGAAAATGTTTTGTTCTTAGAAATATTTTAAATATTCACACAATTGGACGTAGTATCAGACAGCCCCCAGATGACATACACTTTGTGTTCCAGTTAAAAGAATAATGTTGGTCAACAGCAAGATCTTATGCTTGGTCTATTTTTAAGTTATAGTTGGTGTAACAGAGACTAGCTGTGAAGGATATATCTTTTACTAGAGCGGATACATAAAAGTTTACTTTTACATACAATATTAAAAATTTTAAAATATTGACAGAGTAAGAACACAAGTTCTGGAGAAGGAAAAAAGTAGATATTTTTGTCATTAAAAAAAAGTATTTCCTCCAAAAGACCAGAGAAAATGCTTAGGCATGTGGCCTGAGCGATCCGGGAACACAGGCTGAGTATCTGTGGCTCCTGCTTCAGGATTAACTTCTGAAAATTCACTGTGTTTTTTTTTTCTATAGGTCTGACCTTTTTGACATTTGAGTATAACATTGCCTTTTATTATGAAATAGTAAAACTAATCTTCCCAAACGTCTACTAGTTGAATTATTTAGAAATGATCACTTTATTTTCAGAGCGTGAAAGCACAGATTACAAGAAGCTTTCTTTGACATCCCTAGCCAATTAAACAAAGAATACAGGGACACAGTGTCTACAATATCAAAAGGTTGAGCTTCGAGTGGAAAAATCGTAAAGAAAATAAACTGTATGTAAAGATAAAATACCAAAAGTTCAGCTGGATGTGAAACCATGGCAGTTCCTGTATTTATCACAGAAATAGGAAAGTTTGAGAATAGAGGCAAGACCTTTCTTTCAATATATAAACTTATCTGAGACAATGACTGGAATCAAAGCAAGATCATTTTCAACTAATAGCCTTCCATACAGAGCTGCTGATCTACTCTACCTGAGATCATGACCAATAATAAAAGTCCTCCCTAAATGTCACATATATATATATTCTCTCTACTAGAAAGAAAGAAAGAAAGAAAGAAAGAAAGAAAGAAAGAAAGAAAGAAAGAAAGAAAGAAAGAAAGAAAGAAAGAGGTTTCTTCTTCTTAATATGTATGAAATCTTGGCAGCTCTGGATCTTACCAGTTCACAAGAAGAGCACAAGAATGGCTCCTGCTGTGTTTATAATGGTGCAGTGCTTGAGCTAATGCAAGCTCTGTAACCAAAAAGATGGTCCTGTTACATGCTGGTGAGCTGACTTCAACTCATAGCAATCCTATGTACAACAGATCAGAACCATCATTAGTCCTGCAACCACTTCTCACAGTCTCTGCCTTGTTCAAGTCAACCCATCTTATTAAGGGTCTTCTTCTCCTTCCCTTAGTGTCCACTTGTCCAAGCATGATGCCCTTTTGCAAAGACTGGTTCCCTCTCATAAAATTCTCAGAGGTAAGTCTCACTATCCTTGGTCTCTAGGAACAGGCTGGCTGCCTTATTTCCAGGACAGATTTTATTTATTTTTTTGGCAGTTCAAGGTAAAGCTGATACTCTTCTCCAACACAATCCAAAGGCATCAGTTCTTCTTAGGTCTACCTTATTCACTGAACCCAAACTACCCGGGCTTAAATCCTGGGCCCAACTCTTATCAGCTATGTGACCATGAATAACTGTAATTGGTTTCCTAATCTTAAAATGAGGACAATACTTCAACTTAGTAGACTGACCAGAACATTTAAAGAACTTAATGCTGAATATAATTTGTCTTTCCTTTTTAATCTGAGCCAACAAGTATCTAACAAGCATCAGTTCAATGTGGGCTGTTATTAGGAAAAAGAACATCTATATGACATGACCTTAAAGAGAATCTATTTTAAGAAAGTACGCTTTTAAAAATGGAAAATTAAAATATAAAGTAAAATGAAAATGGATGTAAAGATTCAAACAGGATACTAGCAGAATACTGCAAAAGCCATGATTAGTGAGTCAAAGAAACAGGGCACTTCATGGCCCTGAATGAACAATCCTGGACCAGAAAATGACATTAGGAAAACAGAATGTGTAAAGGTAAATAGGGGGCATGAGAAGCCTGATACTCTGGCCAAGGGATTATTGCCCAAGGCTGGCTAGACAGGAATAGAAGGTTTATTCTGGGAAGTGCTGAGAACAGTTGCTGAATACCTTGGATTGGGTTGATGGAACTGACTTGATGGACAAGAAGGAAGAGTCAAGAGGTTATGCAGTGACAAGAACACTTAGGAGAATTGCAGAGATGTAACAAGTAATAATCATTTGGGGTGACAAGAGGCCTGAAGAAGAAGAAACAAATCCAAGCGACCCAAATGCAAAGTTGGTAAAATGTGGTAGTTGATTTTAGGTAGTGAAAAGAACGCCAATAGACCTGGAGGGGCAGGGTAGCCATCCACAGAAATAGGAAGGTGAGGGGGATAGGTCAATTCAAGGGATAAAGCAATTTGGGGTTTTGCCATTTTACATTTCTGATTTTTTTTAAGGCACCTACAAAATCAGAACTCAGTTTAAAGATTGTTTTGGTGTACAGAGATCAGAAATAACTGGAAGAGTAGTTGAATAGCAATGGCAAGGCTTCATCAGAAACTTATGGGTAAAAGGCAGAAAGAAGAGAAAGAAAATACACTATCATGCAATCCAGGTGTGTTGGGAAATAGGACATGATCAACAGGTCAAAGAACATGAGGGCTGAGAATAACAGTCCATAAGAAACCTACTAGGCTTTCTGAGTAGGATGGCTGAAGTCCCATAGTAATGAGTAGGGATGAAAAGGCAGCATCAAGAAGAGAAAATTATTTCAATGGCTAATGAAGACAAACAGATGATCTCTTTCCAACAGAAATCTGTCTCCCACTAATTTCCACCCACTGGTTTGGTTTCTACTAATTAGAGGCATATTCAAGAAATCTTTATTCTTCTATCTCTTGATAGTCTTTCAAATACTTAAAGATGTCATGTGCAGGGTGAAAAGAAAACCTACTGACTTGGGGAAAAAATGTGGCAATGCTATTTCAGGTCATGGTCTCTTAAAGAAAGTTTACAGAATACCAAAGAGCCTTTAGAAGAAAAAGATTGATAATCCAAAGACAAAATAAGCAAAAGACATGGAAAGTCTTTTCATAGAGGAAAACAATCAGATGGTCAACAGACACATGAAGAAATGCTCAAAAATCACTGGCAATCAGAGAGATGCAAATAAAAAACACAGTAAGATACCATCTCACCCCAGTAGCAGTGGCAAAGTTTAATAGGACAGAAAGCAATGAAGGTTGAAGAGAATGTAGAGCGAGTAGAACTCTCATACACTGTTGATGGGATTGTAAAATGGTGCAACCACTCTGAGGGACAGTTAGATCTTTCCTCAAAAAGCTGAATATAGAAATTCTGTATGATCTGGTTATTCCACTGTTAAGAATATGTTGTTGTT